GTAAACATTTGCTTTTCTCTTACACTTTAAATGTTACAACCTGTGTATTTCTCTCTATTAATATTTATTTGTTTTAACCTTTTTTCCAAATATTATCCTATCTACGCTCACATTTGCATATATATTTTCGTATATTTATTATTCGTTCCAATTTTACAATTCATTATTTTTTATCTGCTAATTCCGTAGACATATTTACAGACTTTTATATAAAACATTTGTACTCCAATTTTTGAGGCAATTCAACTTGATCTGTTTAAAAACTAGTTTATATAGTGTACATGTATTTACATTAAAAATAATTTTCGACAGGACTCTGTATACTTCTGCGTATTCTTCACGACACACAAAGCGCAAATATTTGTAAAATTTCAGCATCTAAGGAATAAACACACTGGAACTGTTTTTGTTACAAGTCACACGGAAAAGCCTTGGAAGTTTTCTGACTATACTCCGTGATATTTTTCTTTTTAACTCCAGCTACATCGTTTGTTTTCGCCGTAAGACGAAGGTCATTACTTTTATCACAGATAACGGTTAATCGATTCCTATATAGCTGTGGCCCTTACAGAAAGAAATTTGCATTCCGTCTCCCACCCTCTAACCATTATCATCATGCCATTACAGAGCGCGCGCCATGATAGATCTTCTGATATCGAAGAGTTGAGACAATTCTTATTCTCTTAAACATCGATGTATCAAAGAATTCTATGAAGTCAACGTCTTTACTAATTCAACCATTTTATTCGAGCGTCCTAATTTGTATCTTGGTACTAATAACTTCAGCTTCTAGAGGTGAGTAGTTTAAAATGTTTGAAAAATGTCCGTTTCGACTAACATTGTAGATGCCATCTTCAGGGTGATATGTAATGTTTGGAAGTTTTTGGTAGCGTTGTGTAGAGAGTTTGTATTTGATGGTGGTAATTTGTGGAATCAAGCACGTCACGATGCATTCCAACTGACTTAGTTTGCTGTGGACTGGTATCCCACAGTAAGTTATTCTCAGAACCTATACTACACGTAGTCGGATAGACTCAAATCGTATTGTAAAAACGGGACAGGCAAAATTCCTAATCCATAAAGTGAAGAAGAAAAAGAATAACTCAGAGTTGGCAACATCAAATATGAGATATTATTCAGCATTTTCAGAGGCCACGGTGGTCTAGCGGTTAGAACGCTGGCCTTGTAATCCTGGGGGTCTCGGTTTTGATTCCTGGCGGTGCCCGAATTTATAACTTGTGTTGGGCAAGGCCGTGGTCTAGGTAAAACGGAGTTTTCCTCCGGGGGCTTCCCCGATTTCTCCGTGGCATCCATTCACACACAGAAGAAGGCAATGGCAAACCACTTCTGGATCATGTGCCAAGAACGTATATGAACAGGTCCCAGTCCGAGAAAAGGATGGAAGGATCCTGTTCATATGGACCTGTCGTCAGACAGAACACTAAATAAAATAAATAAATATTTTCAGAGGATTTACGGAATGTAATCTTTTGATATTGGTATATTTCCATAGATTTTTGACGCTGAAAAACATCATCTCACTTAAGAACGTCATTATTCAGCCTAAAATTCTCTTAAATGTAACACATACGAAGACATTTCCCATTGTAATTAATTTTATGAAGTAGATAAATATTTCACTTTGAGAAATTTCACAAAAATGTTGCGGAAGTTGAGTAGAAGTCAGAAATTTCTTAACGATCGCATTAAAAGCAAAGAATGCCCATGCTCACAGATGGCTCAGCGGAAAGACGATATCGAAACGAAGCTAAAGTCGATTATAATTCAGAACGCGCCAGGAATTTATATATGTACGGCGTATGGCCTAAGGACAGGAGCTGTCTCTATCCGAATAAAATATCTGTCCCTTATAATCGTCCAGTCTCTTACATCTGTATAAGTTTTTCACTTGTAACTCCATTAAAACCATTCGCACAAGGCAGACTTTCAATATACAATAATGGCATTATTGTATTCATTGCACTAAAATATACAATTACATATTATAGCAGTTTCAAAAAGTTAAGATATGATAAGATTTACATAAAAGTTTAATTAAAAACGACACTCTTAAGTGGTTCACACGAAATAATACACATTCCTCAAATTGAATTTGCATTTCATCCTTTTGTGAATGGGACATTTATTTTCCGCTGTCATTTCAAAAGCCTGGCGATTTTCGTTAAATTTATTAAACATTTTAATACAAAAATTTTGCATGCATTCTGGTTACGAGTAATGAACGTATATTTTCGTTTTTGTTTATTTTTCTTTCAGTCTTAGATTAAACTTCTTTATAGAGTTCTATAAACACCTCGTGTTTTAAAGATATTCATGTATTCTGTTAATAAAGTAATATATTAAGAACAATTTATTATTGATTAAAATTACATTCTACGTAAATATATAACATTACCTGATAATATTTATACGACAGTAAAGCTAAAATATTGGGTCTATATTCTTTTAAATATTTAAAATACATACATAAGCATGTTAATGTAGATTAGTATATTTGATTTTTCCAGTCTTGTAGTAGAAATAATTTCCATATAAATGGGACAGCGCTCCAACGAAACGGATTAATACGCTACAGCCGAAGCATTGGAACACGAGGGACAATAATTTTAAGTCTGGCCGAAAGCACGGAAAATATTTTAAAGAGAGCCAAATTCCAGTACATACAAAATTTATGGCGAAGTGTGACAAATTTGAATTTTAGGTACATTTATTAAAATTCATGCATTTTATTATTTATTTACGTGATTTCGCATCCAATAAATAAATATATAAATAATATGTTAAAAACACAGGCTACAAATCTATTAAATAAATTTAATTTTCAGGTATGATACTTAATCATAAACATCATATTAAAGGGGCCTCATACATTTTCATACAAATCCACGTAATGCTCACGTCGGACGGATTTTCCACCATAAATTTATGTTTCAGTACGCTGAATTCAGATTCGAAACGAAATTTTTACTCAACAGAAGGGACAATAAATGTAATACATATATAAAACTGATCTAACACAAGATTAGTTAATTTTGAGATAATCCACGGATTTAAATCTACTAACTAATTTAATAATTGTATTATACAATAACAGTACTGCTAATATAACAAAATTAATAACAAAACAAGAACATGGCTGTCTTCTGCGTTGTAGTGCCGTGTAGTCTGGTAGAAGTATACCAACGTTTCGCAGGTCCTTGCTACCTCCATCATCACGGCGGTTTATAGGTGTTAGAACCCATAAGACAGCCATCTTCGTAATCAAAATAGTTACATCCTTTCCCCGAGCTACTTTAAATGTAGTGAATTCCGATGGAGTTGCGAACTCACATAAAAAGGAGAATTTCAGAGATGTAGCGGGAGTTGGTGAGGGGAAATATTTCGTTTGCAGATGGGAAGGGTCGTTTGTGCAATAGATATTGCAGGAACCATAATATATGAATGTAGTGTCAGCACCTGCTCTCAGAAAGTACACTCTTGTCTCGGAGTGAAAGTACAACGAACATTCCACGAATGTGAATTATTTTGCTACAGTGAGACATAAGACAATACAAGACAGGGGCAAAACATTTTTATCTGTAGAGAAACAATGATTTTGATATATGTAAAATATATTATAAAATTGTAAAATGAAACAATATCAAAAAAACACATTTTAATTTGATACAATGACATCTTTGTATCCTTTATTCAAATGTATAGAACTTCGACAGACTTGAAAAATTTATAAATTATTCAGCATAGAAGGAAAAACAATTTTCGTGAAAACATTTCGAATGAAAAACACAGATAAGGTAAAATTCAAACGTAGTTCTGTATAAGACGAAAATTATGAAATCTTCTCCATTACATTTTTCTATGCCGAGAATCCTAGAGAAGATATGAATAAATAACATCTACTGTTTTATTGGCTTCAGTTTTCCGTGAGGATGTGGTAATGATCGTGAAGAGATGGGACCAAGTGGTACTGTAGCAAACGCAGAGACATTTTCCCTAACTCCTTTATAATTTACCCGCTCCAACTAATCCCTCCCCAGAAGCCGTGCGTAACAGCTAGGGTGCAGTATCTGACAAAAACAGTTCTCATTTCACATCGTATATTCGGTTACAATTTCAAGATATACGTAAACCTGGCAACAGAAATATTATATAATAAGAAAAAGACACAGTTCAAACTTCGTGTAGACCACAGATTATCACCGTTATTATTATTTATTATTATATATTCATTATATTAAATTAATGATAATTTATAATTTTCTCAAACTGACAATTCCAAAGTGGCGGATGAACAAACTTGTGAGTTAAAACCGACACTAGCGCCACTAGAAACACGAACATTTAAATATATGATTTTATATTTATCCTAAAATACAAATTTTACAATAGTAATTATATGTATAAATTAGAATAATAACACTGCGGCTTAATTAAAGAAAAAAAATGTTCTGTCTTCAACCCAATTCGATCCCATGACCCCAAGCATATTTGTCCGATATCTTACGTCAGACGTACTCAAAGAAGATATTCAATTATTTCTATTATGCATATTTTACACTTAAAAATGACCATGTATTTTACAATTTCTATAAAAATAAAATTAAAATATACTTACTGATCATGTAGACAAAGACCCCCCGAAATTCAAATAACATGTGTAATATAAATCAAGTTCCGGACGAAACAGTATATTATATTACCCTCAAACACACTGTAATTAAAAATTTAAACAATCAGTTGACTAGTGACATTTATCAATATTACAAAATCATCTTCAGGGTAAATTTTATGATGTATATAGGAAATAACTTACTAAAAATTTTGAATAAAAATCACATTAAATCGAATCTGCATTAACATATCCAATTTTCCTTACATCGCAGTTTACAAACACAAATTGTGTGACTTTCTGATATCTCAATGATTACTACAAGTAGCGTGTACTTCAAATTCCTTGTTCGAATTACTTTAATGTCATTACGTGACGAATAACAACTTACAAATTACTATAATATTTCCGATAATGGTAGAGAACTCTATATAAGTCTTCAAATTTTCAAAATGTTTTAAGCTGGTGCCCTGATAGAAACATTTCGTTTTATATATATGTCAATAACTAAAGATTTAACGGCAACTGAATGCAATAATTAGCAGTGTTCAAATGAATTTTCGAACTCCGATTCCGTACAGCTGATAGCTAAAAAATATTTCACAGGGTTATTTACAAAACAAATAAATTAATTATCTTCAGTAATAAAGTTGTATATTATTGTAACTGTAGTAAACTAATGTCGAATAGAAATAAATTCTCAGAAGAAACATTTACTTACCACTTGGGTCTGCTAGTTGATTTGACGAGAGGTGTCATGCCTTCTCGGAACAAATTCCTGTGTTTGCTGAAGTTAACGATATTGAAGATTACTCTCTGAAACACAATAAACCAAGTATATATTAAATCTTGTCCGTCTAATCACAATAAATTCTTATTAAATATTAAAATATTACAATAATTAACATTTAAAATATTTTAAAATATTAAATGATGTTCTTTATCGAAATATTCGATTTACATTAGACCATCATTTTTCATGTTTCACGACATGTTTCAGTTCCTAAAAGAACAATCCTCAGGTGTATATAATTATGTAAAGCTTCAAAACGATAAATAATTCAAATACAATTTTCATACATTATGCTAGCGTGCATTTTTATCAGATTTTTACCAGATATCAAACGATGTTCTTTTTCAGATTTTTATTCCACTTTTAATAACACACTCGATGTTGTTCTGTATATATACATCATGCTCAATGTAATTAGACGGACAAGATTTAATATATACTTATTATATCACAATATGACGCAACTTTACCATCTTACAATAAACCAAACAAACTGAATTAAGAATAATATCCAATATTCGTCTTCAATTCAAAATATAAGTGGAAACAGGTGTAAAATTTCAGACTTGATATTATCATGGCGGTGAGATCCATTGGTTACGACTTAGAGTGCTGGACGTATAAACCTCAATTCACGAGTGAGATTTCATACTCAAACTTTAAAATATAAATTTCACATTTACATAATTTTGATTCAAAGTCGTGTAACCTCGTGTAGTTTTAGCATCGATTTAAACCGGTTCCTATTTAATAACTGAGTTAATATTAACTGATATCCAAAGAGTTAAGAAACGTATAATCCATTAGCTAATCAAGACATTTCACGCCCTTGTGAAACTAAATGTTAAATTAAACGTTGATATAACTAATATCTTTTTCACGGAATGGTTTGTTCCTTTTTTGTTTAAAAGAATAGGATGGATTAGAGTAAAAGAAATGGATCATAATCTACTTTGATATCGATCCACGACGAACTTATTAATTTCTTATACCGATCATAAAAGAACAAAGGATTTTCTGTGACCAGGATATGAAAAAAGTTGAGCATTGAATCCATCTACAGCGTCATATTATAAATATATCACTCCTAATGAAATTAATTTTCGACAATTTCAAAGTCCATTCCCTTTCTTTGTCAGCTTTAAAAGATTAAACCTTTTGTCCACATCCAATTTAAAGACAATTACGTAAGTACAACTCAATTAAAAACATCTCAGGACTTTCCAGGTGAAGAATCGATGTATCAAACAGTCTCTATTCACACGTTACAACACAACACAAAGAAATGTGGATATTTATCAGTTCACCGAGCGGTATTTGAACCCGCGACGGCACACTTCCAAGAAAATTCAATCACTCTCATTGTATGCACACATTAATATCTTTGTATCAGTTATATTTTATTGATTCAACTACCAGAAATTTTATTAAACAAGTCTTTCAAATATGTTCTGCTATCAAATTACCTAATTTCTCAGAACGGAAATAAAACTACCATCTTTATTATATTTGGTCTGTTAACAATTGTTCGAACATTCTGTGGGCTGAGAAATACGTGGAAGATCGAACATTCAATATATCGCCCACAATACAGAAGTTAATTCTGTAACGGACTTTCTATTCCATTATTCATTTTACGCCATTCACTCAGAAGAACAATTACGACCTCCAGGTCTCAACAATCTGGCTATTCCAAATGAATTGTTCAGAAACAAATTTCCCTACGAAACTTTGTTCTCATGTTTAATCACGAAATTTGGCATAAACCGCTGATAATTCAGTACAACCGTAGAGCGTCTGAAATACGCGAGTAATAGAATTAAGCCAAAAAATGAGGTTTTGATGATAACGTAATTATTACTTTGCACTTTGACAAGATCAAAGCTTTAGAAAAAAAAAATGTAAACGGTATAATTGCCATTGTTTTAATCCTTTCCATGCTATTCACGAGATATCTCTATTACACATATTAGGTTTAATGCTGATACATGATTTTACGTTTAATACAGTTACAATGAACCTGAAATAGATCTGTCAGTGCAGTGTATAACTATGGACTTAATAATCAGGGGCACGATCCCAAGAAGGGGCAAAAGACGTTCCTACCCATCCTCCTATCCAAGAGGTACTGTGAGGTAAATTCGGTCTGGGCGTGACTCTGACAGCTGACCACTACCTAGTGCTAAGTTTAGAAACGGTTAGAATTAGGAAGATGGCTGTCTTGTGGGTTGTAATGTCGTGTAGTCTGTTAGAAGCTTACAGACGTTTCAGAGGTCCCCGGTGCCTAATTGATGATGGAGGCAGCAAGAACCTCTACACTTCTACCAGACTACAAGTAACTACAATCCAGAAACCGGCCGTCTTCATAACAACCGTCGAGATAACCTAAAATCTCACATAAGAACTACGATGTCTGATGTAATATTACAACGAAATTTAAGAAACGTCCTAAGATTAACGTAGATTTAAATTTATAGCAGCGCGTTTTAACACACAACACAAATGAAAGTCTGATAACTCAAATGAAAAAAAAAATCCCACTTAAACTCTTAATTTGGTTCAAAGTTCCCATCATTCGTAATATTTAAATTCACATAATAAACTTCAGTACGGGTATGAGCTATTGATTAGTTTTAATGACAAATTCTATACACGTTTCTGATTACGAAAGTAGTATATACAGAGGTAGAGAAGTCAGCTGTAAGGTTATAACTCCGTCCTACCGGAATTTTCAGTTTATTACCGTTATGAAAACCGAGCCGAGTATTTGAGTCAGTGATAATATCCGAAGTATGATAAGGTCTGTACCTTACATCTGAGAGACCAATTTATCGAACGTAGTCCTCAGAAACTCTCTGAAACGTCGGTCAACGTCTACCACACTGCACGACCCAACATCCTTTAAACAGTAGCATTTAGTCAATTTTTTCGCTTAAATATTGCTATATGATATAAAACGCTATCAGATCATAAATTAATTTAGAGTAACAGTTTTAACGTACCTTAAGATGGCTGCTTCTTACAGCTACTTAAAAAAATGTTATAAATTAAAGATAAAGCATAACTATCAATAAAGTAATATAAATGAGTAATTTACTAAATTTTAAAATAATTAAAATTATATTCATAATTACAATTAACAATTCTAAATTTACGAAATAATTTAAATGTTTCTTAGGGCGGCCAACTGGAATGTTTCACTAGAAAATATCCTAACTGCAATGTTAACTTTATCTGGCGTAATAACCTTATACAGTACCACAAAACCAGTTCTGTCCTCAGAGGCAATAATGCCTGCATTGCCACGTATAAATCACTAAAATGGCTACAAAACTATCCACTTGTACTGAAAGTTACTTTGTTTCCGACACTCCATCATCTGTAAATGTTACATTCTGTTCACCGCGGCGTTATGACTTTGCTCCACTGGAACACTGAACACTATTTAGTGCAGTAAAACACTGGTAGAGGCACTACAGAACCACTGTCTCAAACCCTCATAAGCCTACTTAATCATCACAGCATATTCGTCAAATTTATCGTATGACCAAACGAAATGACTCTTTACAAAGTTCATTCTTCCATTAAAATGCTAATTTTGTCTACAAAATATTATAAACTTTCCATATGAACATTAATTCTCGCTACTAAACACCATGCCAAAACATTAGTGTTAAAAATCAATGATGAAATTAAACTAAATAATGTTTTTCGCACCTCAAAGCCACTAGCGTCGAGAAATATCATCTTTATACCATGCAACTTCTATAAGCAATGTAAATTAACAAAAACACACAACAGACGTAGTCCTGTACTCGTGTAATTTTTGCATATAATTATTACGTCATCTCTATCCCTCTGCTTGGTTTATTAAACTTAGCTGTGTGTACGTATGGACCAGTATACAGATGCTGGTAAAATGTTAAAAGCAAGGCTCGAAGTATCCTAATCAAAATGGTGTCCCAACCTCCTCTCCCCTTTGCTTCGTCAATGAGGTCTCTTTATAAGCAACTCTCACTGGGCACAATATAGGTTCCTGAAATGACCCAGGGGATCTACATCAATGCCCAATCAAAGAAACCGCATTAATATCATCCCTGACTCATGCTATTCGCTTATGAGACTCGTATGTTTTCAAAATAAATACCATTAAGGTGATCACGAAATAAAAGACCTAGTAACTTAGATAATAAAATATGTAATCACACAAATATGAAATTAGAACTGGATATAGTGAAATTGTAATGACAGAATATAAAAAAGCCACCAAATGTGGAGATCATATTTCGATAAGAAATTCGCAATAAAATATAAACGGATAGAATTAAAAAAAATATAAGAAAAAGGATTATAATGTCCGCCACTGAACAAGATCCAAAAATCACTTCGATCTGGTCCACACTTCTCACGTTATTATTTTAAGATCAATTTTAATATTATCCTTCCATCTGCTATTATTTCGTAACGTATAACAAAACACGTTAACTTTAAACATCCTGGGTGAAAAATAAAGTTATTGAATAATATAATAATCGCTCAGATCTGTAGACAAAATTTTAAATTATATTGACACTTTCATCCTTAAAACAACAAAATTATTATGATTTAAAAATTTTCGAATTCATATGCAGTTGTCATTTCGTGTATCTTCTCACTTATCATTTTCATTTCGTTAAGAATCTGAGGGTTAGAGCACACCGCTCCAGTATCGCTTCTGTATAAATGTGACTTCCAGGCTTTATCGTTCAACAGTGTCATTAAAGAGGAATTTACCTAACGTTATATATGTACAGCAAGACGAAGTCTCTTACTAATGAAGCCACTCTGCGAGGATGGTACAGCAGTGTAAAATCCTTCCTCCTTTCTTTCGTAGAAGCTACAGGGAACAAATTATCAAGTTGGTTGTATTATTCAGTATAAAATAAAGACGTTGTTAAGAGATACGAATATTTTACCTTGTATAAATTAGTATCTGTTCCGATTTTTTTTTTTTTCATTTTGTAAAAGCGATTTCATTACGTAA